CCAACCCCTCAGCGGACTGCGTTTTTGGACTTGAGTCCGACTTTATATTACTAATTTACAACAGCATGCCTGACACTGATACTGATATTATAATACAAGATTTATAAGACGAGAGTAAAGTAAAGATGGGAACCGCAATATTAATTAATCTCACTGACAGTGGCACTACCCACCTATTGCTGTAATGTGCATTTAAGTATTCTCAAAATACACGTACAGATAAAAGAGTTTGTTTTGGGTTTTTTAAAACATGAGAATAACAATAAAGCCCCCTTTAACAACATAACAAAACGACCAACCCATCATTATTATTATCTTTATCTCTAGCAAATACTTTTCGCCCTTTCCTCCCCAAGCAGTACAACTGTACAACGCCAATGCTGTTTGGCATACGTCCACATTGCCAGCGGCTGCGTGAACACCCAACTCCCTCCCAAACCTTGGCCGGCCAGGCAGGATCACCGGTGTAGATAGAGTGAATGTTTACATCAACACGACTTTATTTTCTTTTTTTGTTACTCCTAAAAATAGGAAGGGGGGGGGGGGGCGCAGAGCCCTCGGGGACGGATCGGTCACGGGAAAGAGAAGCGAGCCCGCGCGAAACGCCTGGTGCGGTAAAAGTGTAAAAGTTCAGAGAAGAGGCCGCGGCGTGACATGGCCAGGAGGATGAAGGGGGGTTGTTTTGGTTTTATTTTTGCTTGTCGTGGTCAAACCTGGTACGAGTTTAAAGGCCTTTTTAGCTTTAGTAGTTTTACGGCACTCGAAACACAATTCGGTCATATAAGTCCCGAAGATTGGAGGCGTTTCAAGAAAGTATCAAATTCAAAAAAGAATATAGAATAAATAGCTTAGATGTTTTGATAGGAAAGAGGCCAACCACCTAACAGGTCAGTCGGCTGAAGCTTAGTATGCAACAATAGCCTACGCCGCGTACTTCTGTGTTTGTAGGCACAGAAAATATGAAGAAGGGCGTAGAATTAGAAAACAAGCTCGCATTCGCCCACGACGAGAGACAAACAAACATAGCGAGCCTTTGCTTTAAAGTACAGAGAAGTCGAAGTCGAAGCGGCAAGCAACCGCAAGCAAAAACGAAAGAAGCAGCTGAGGGAATGAAGAGGGGAAAAACATGTGCGTGCGGAAACTCACGGCGTCTCAGATAAGGAAACGAACAAGAGAGAATGAAAAGAAGGGGGGTGGGGAATAGAAGGGAGAGAAAGAAAGTAAACCAAGGGGGTGGGGGAGA